CTTCCCTACAAAATTCGTGCCAAATACGAGAATCGTGCAGGAATTATAGTCGATCCACGTCACGAACGGCCACTGCCTTATGTGTGAATTGAAATTTCAGATCCCTGCTCGCGAATGTTTTAAGGCGACGTGAGGAGATGAAGGGCGACCGTGACCTAGGGCGTCGATCTCCCTGCTCGCGATTTTTAACTCCACCAGACAGTATATATGCCGTATATATGTAGTATATTTATACCTTTTTTGTTGTTTGTGTAGTTGCATGTATATATACTGTATATTTTCTGTATATATACTGTTTATATTTTTTTTCATATACACACTATTACAGTGTGTATAGTTTGGTTTTTTTGTATGAAAGATTTGAATTAAAAATTATAAGGATCGACATATTGTATATTTGTCGTATATATACTGTTTATATTATGTATATTTTTTGTATATGTTGTGTTCTCCACCATCTCGTTGATCAGAAAATGGACGACGCTGCTTGTGATTGACGCTACTCGTGATGGACGACATTGCTTGTGCTTGTATAGTTCAGATTTTTTTTTAATGAAAGAATATTGTCAGTTACGTGAATCTTATGATGAGAACTGTTTATTTTTTGTTTGACAGTAGTTATCTAAATAATTTTGTTAAACTAGGTATATTTGCAAATAAATTTTTATTTTTGTATTTATGCAATTCTTTTAAATTCCTGACCGTGCAATTGCCCAAGAAAAAGACACTGGATAGTTTATAGGGTAATTATCTCAAAAGTAATTAACAAGCCCATTAACTAATTTTCAACCAAACCCATCTTAAAGTATTATTAATATTAATATTCGTCAAGAAAATAATATTTGTTCACCGACCCTTTATTCCTTGATATTCTAGGTGTTACCTTCGTCTTCTATCAGGCGCCGACTCTCCTCTGGTAGGCATTCATCTCTATCCCTCTCCTCAATCAATCCGTCTCTCTATATACTATATATATATTCGTATATATTATACGTATACAGGCACACATATTGTCATCTTGATTGATTGATTATTATCGAATTTTCAGTTATGAAGAATAACACCAAGTTTTGATTGATATTTTTAGGGATTCAGACGGTTTCAAGAAGACCCAAAAACCTCATCGACGACGAAAGAGAGAAAGAACAAAAGGGGGGAAAAAAAAGCAAAATTATGGCGGATATCAGTGTTTATTTCAATGTATAATTTTGGGTTTTCAATTATCGATAGTGTCTCTGTGTAGATAACGAGAGAGACATAGCGAGAGAGAGAGAGGGAGAGAGAGAGAGGGAGAGAGAGGGAGAGTGAGCTATAGTGTGAGAGCTTTGTTTATGATTCAGGGGTTTTGTTCTTGAGTTGGTTGTATGTTTTTTCCCTTCTCTGTAGCATCCCTGGAATTGAATGAAAAAAAAAGGCAAGGATACTGTTACTCTTTCTTCTCTAGTTAACTTGATTGCGTTATTTATCGTTACATATTTTGTTTGTCA